AGACAAGTGGCAAACAATTGGTAGTGTACCATTCTGCAGAAACTGTTTTTTGATCCTCTAACACAATTGTTGCAAAATGACCTATCCTTCCAAAGAACGAGGCCACCATTTTTTTTCCCGCACTTCGATCTCTCTTCACTTTAGTTGGCGACTCCTCGAAAGGAAACACCCACTGAGCAGATTGTCTTTTGGTTTTAGGATCATAACAGTAAATCCAGCTTTCGTCACCTGTTAGTATGTCGAACACAGCATTTGAGTCACCTCCGTTAAATCTTTCAATCATTTTACGACACCAATCCACACGATGGAGTTTTTGAGCCTCAGTCAAATTATGAGGTATCCACCGGGCGCAAAGCTTCCTGACCGCTAAATGTTCGTGGAGGATTTTGTGCACTTGACTCATACCGATGCCTAAGCTTGTCCGAATCTGTTGATAGGTCACTCTTTTGTCAGTCTCTATCATACGCCGCACAACACAGATGTTATCTTCAGTCGTCGCCGTAGAAGGCCGTCCCTCACGTAAATCATCAGTGAGATTAGTGCGACCACGTTTAAACTCATTAAACCAGTTGTAAACAGTCGCACGAGATGGGGCTTCATCGTGAAAGGCCAATCGTAGTCTATCATAACTTTCTTGTTGACTTAAATGACATCGAAAGTCATAAAAAATCATTGCACGAAAATTTTCTCGTGTTAAATTCATGATGACGTGACACAGACAATTTTCAATTTGCCGCCAAATCGTAAAACAAATGACAAATGAATGAAATATATACTCAGTAATATTGGCAAAGAGTTATATTTTCAAATTTTAGAATTATTTTTTTATTATATTGTTTATAAGTGGCCAGTTCTAAGAACTTTCAGTTTGACCCTCGTATATTGAAATCATTTTCGTAGTTCAAATCTTTGTCATGTCCGACGACAATCTACTGTTTGCTCAGCTGAAACGTTTACCTTTTGAGATGTATGACGAGCACTTGTGGGAACTTCTGTACGGTGAACCATTTGAGGCATTTGCGTCTCACCCCACACTTGGAACATGTCTGCAATAAACAAATATTATAACATAATAATTAAATATTAATCCCACCAAAAACATTATCATGTAAAATGTTGCCAAGACGAGACAATATGGCTTACTCTATCAAAAATGTTATAGATCTCATGTAGAGCCAAGCTTCTAACTCTACACGCCATATGTTTACAAAACTTTACACCTTAAGTCAAAATATGTAGTTTGGTCTTTTCGTTATTACAAATAATGTCTTTTTGTACAATAATTAACACTGTTATTTATGATATTCTAGTACTACCAGTTTGATGGTGTTTTACAAATAACCCTGTATATTGTTGTTGTTCATGTAATTTTTGCTCAGTATCTACACGAATGACGTAATGTGTGCGTGTGATAGTGCTGGTTACATACCGGTTTCTCATCACCATCCAGCTCCTCCTCCTTGGTGAAGTGTTGCAGGCACTGCTGCAGCTTGAGACTGCCGGTACGGGACGGGATCGGCAGACTGAAGAAAACGCCACGTATATAAAATTACATCCTTTCTCTATTGACGGCACGAGATAAATGACGAGCTCTAACCCACCCCGCAGGCCAGTGCGAGACCAACTTAATATGAGGGCGAGGGCAAAGCCGGGGTTAGTATTTTCGTATCTAAGCAAAATTTTTACAGCGAAAGCCCGGTTTTCATCTTTTGATATAATTTGTCAAAAATTCCCACATATGCACATACATAGAAAGGAAACGACTCGGTTAATGGATGGTATTTTTAGTAATCGAGATTATAGGAATCCTTTAATAAAATTAAACGATTGGCATAATAGTTGTGTGATAAGTATGTGTATGTGTATGTATGTGTATGTGTATGTACCTGAGGTCCCAGAAGGGGTCGAAGGTGACGCTGTCGTGGTTGCAGTGCGTGCAGCGCAGCGTGGACTTGAGCTGCCCCACGAATATCTGGCTGACGCGCGAGTATGTGTACGTGTATGTACCTGAGGTCCCAGAAGGGGTCGAAGGTGACGCTGTCGTGGTTGCAGTGCGTGCAGCGCAGCGTGGACTTGAGCTGCCCCACGAATATCTGGCTGACGCGCGAGTATGTGTATGTGTATGTACCTGAGGTCCCAGAAGGGGTCGAAGGTGACGCTGTCGTGGTTGCAGTGCGTGCAGCGCAGCGTGGACTTGAGCTGCCCCACGAATATCTGGCTGACGCGCGAGTATGTGTACGTGTATGTACCTGAGGTCCCAGAAGGGGTCGAAGGTGACGCTGTCGTGGTTGCAGTGCGTGCAGCGCAGCGTGGACTTGAGCTGCCCCACGAATATCTGGCTGACGCGCGAGTATGTGTACGTGTATGTACCTGAGGTCCCAGAAGGGGTCGAAGGTGACGCTGTCGTGGTTGCAGTGCGTGCAGCGCAGCGTGGACTTGAGCTGCCCCACGAATATCTGGCTGACGCGCGAGTATGTGTACGTGTATGTACCTGAGGTCCCAGAAGGGGTCGAAGGTGACGCTGTCGTGGTTGCAGTGCGTGCAGCGCAGCGTGGACTTGAGCTGCCCCACGAATATCTGGCTGACGCGCGAGTATGTGTACGTGTATGTACCTGAGGTCCCAGAAGGGGTCGAAGGTGACGCTGTCGTGGTTGCAGTGCGTGCAGCGCAGCGTGGACTTGAGCTGCCCCACGAATATCTGGCTGACGCGCGAGTATGTGTACGTGTATGTACCTGAGGTCCCAGAAGGGGTCGAAGGTGACGCTGTCGTGGTTGCAGTGCGTGCAGCGCAGCGTGGACTTGAGCTGCCCCACGAATATCTGGCTGACGCGCGAGTATGTGTACGTGTATGTACCTGAGGTCCCAGAAGGGGTCGAAGGTGACGCTGTCGTGGTTGCAGTGCGTGCAGCGCAGCGTGGACTTGAGCTGCCCCACGAATATCTGGCTGACGCGCGAGTATGTGTATGTGTATGTACCTGAGGTCCCAGAAGGGGTCGAAGGTGACGCTGTCGTGGTTGCAGTGCGTGCAGCGCAGCGTGGACTTGAGCTGCCCCACGAATATCTGGCTGACGCGCGAGTATGTGTACGTGTATGTACCTGAGGTCCCAGAAGGGGTCGAAGGTGACGCTGTCGTGGTTGCAGTGCGTGCAGCGCAGCGTGGACTTGAGCTGCCCCACGAATATCTGGCTGACGCGCGAGTATGTGTACGTGTATGTACCTGAGGTCCCAGAAGGGGTCGAAGGTGACGCTGTCGTGGTTGCAGTGCGTGCAGCGCAGCGTGGACTTGAGCTGCCCCACGAATATCTGGCTGACGCGCGAGTATGTGTATGTGTATGTACCTGAGGTCCCAGAAGGGGTCGAAGGTGACGCTGTCGTGGTTGCAGTGCGTGCAGCGCAGCGTGGACTTGAGCTGCCCCACGAATATCTGGCTGACGCGCGAGTATGTGTATGTGTATGTACCTGAGGTCCCAGAAGGGGTCGAAGGTGACGCTGTCGTGGTTGCAGTGCGTGCAGCGCAGCGTGGACTTGAGCTGCCCCACGAATATCTGGCTGACGCGCGAGTATGTGTATGTGTATGTACCTGAGGTCCCAGAAGGGGTCGAAGGTGACGCTGTCGTGGTTGCAGTGCGTGCAGCGCAGCGTGGACTTGAGCTGCCCCACGAATATCTGGCTGACGCGCGAGTATGTGTACGTGTATGTACCTGAGGTCCCAGAAGGGGTCGAAGGTGACGCTGTCGTGGTTGCAGTGCGTGCAGCGCAGCGTGGACTTGAGCTGCCCCACGAATATCTGGCTGACGCGCGAGTATGTGTATGTGTATGTACCTGAGGTCCCAGAAGGGGTCGAAGGTGACGCTGTCGTGGTTGCAGTGCGTGCAGCGCAGCGTGGACTTGAGCTGCCCCACGAATATCTGGCTGACGCGCGAGTCCTCCGCGCGCATGTACCGCGCCCACGACTCCGCCGCCTTGGCGCTGTCGCTGCACAAGTACACGTGTACACTGTTACTCCGAAAACTAACACGTTGCCATTCAAAATGTCGACGAGTTCTCGGATAAAATGTTATTGTTCGATAATTTATGATGAGATTCAAGGACGGTGCCGATCCTGCCTCTGATGTACGGATTTTGACAAAATTACAAGAATGTTTCGAATTTTAGATATATCAATAGGTCGATTCGTTCGAGTTATACTCGATTGACGTTAACATCGCGTATCGCGACCGGTGACGGTGCGTCCGTCCTTCTGTCCGGTGTCCGGCCGTCCGTGGTGCGGCCGCACGTTTACGATATCTGTCGATCGTGCGTCGGCGGCAAAAACACCCGAGAAACTTATAATTGGCGATATAACCATCACATATTAAAAAAACTAAATCCGATTTCTAAGATTGTAACTTTGACAAATGTATAGATGAGCGATTAAATTCCACTTATTTTACCTATATATATTCTTTTCTTTTTTTTTTATTTATTTAATCTTTATTGCCACATTACTGCAAATGACGGACTTAATGCCATTGGCATTTTCTACCAGTCAACCGGAGAGGATAAGCAGAAAATTTGTAAGGCAGTGCTTACAAATATATATATTTTTTAAATTATTTTATCGCAGTCTCCTCGGTGGATCTCATTTGATAATATGAGTATTATGAGAATGTTTAACCATTCGCCATCTGGGGCCGTCTGCCATTTTCGATTTGTAATGATTTAACTTATCGAACGATCCATTGTTGTTTAAATCTAAACCTGTAATCGGGGTGGAAGATTGATGGACAATTGAGCAATTGTCAAGATAGAAATTTAAAACTTGGTATGCGGACTCTTTATAGTTAACATACAATATAGATATGTACGAAAAGCGCGGGAAACATTCAAAGTGCAAAATGATTTTAAATTACAAGGGTCAGTATTCTGTATTATTCATGAGTTACGTACTGATTACTATAATTCAGTTTTTTTTTCACTGAAAATCCCTTTTGTTTAGCCCACAAATGAGGTCACATTCCCAGCGTCAACATTTTCGAGGTTAATTTAAATATTGATTTAAAACAGTTTTTAGAAAGTTTTAGGGAGCTTTTTAATGCAAAAAGAGTACAATGATAAAACCTATCTATTTTTTGCACACATTATAATTTTAAATTAAGAATTAAACTTTATAACTTATTATAATTAAGAACATAGCTGTCTTCAAACAATACTTAATGGACACATCCACAATTAAAAAAAAATATGGAAACGTTTGTATTATTTAAATTACTGTTACAAAATATTTGAATTATTTATTTAATAGCTTGTTCATTTGCCTTTGACTAGCATAAACTATCACCAAAGGGAGTGTTGTCTGAAAAGAACTGGCGAAACGAACGAACGGCGAAACTACCCAGGACCTAACAGGACTGTCGAATTTTCAAGCACTCGTTATTTTCACTACTACAGAGCGCATTCTCATCAATGTTCAGGCAATCCACCCAAAAAACAGCTGATAGAAATACTTATGCAAATTTTTTTAAAACTTTCGATAAAGATGAAAATGAAAATTTGTACTTAAAAGAACCAACACTTCTAGTATTTCTAATCGAGTCTCTCAAACATATGGAGCGAGCTATGTGTTGACGATATTCCTAAATCTGATTATACCAAAATTAGAAGGATATTTAATCAATACAACAAAAAATAAAATACAGTGAATTTAACTAACTGCGCAAATTGGACCTTAATATGATACGAGATAAGGTGGATAATTGTTTACCTCAAATTATCGTCGATCTCTGTGAGTATCGGCTTCGGTTTGACCGTGATCCGGTTCACGTCCTCGTGTAGACCTTCCAGCAAGTACCTGAGGAACTCCTGTCAACGATACAAAACCTTTATGGGTATTTGGATAGGCCAAAAACTATATCACCTAACTCACAATCGGACAAAATTCAGTTGTATCAAACTACAGTATCTATTTTGTAATTGTAATATATTTAATATTGTTTATAAATATATTAATTATTTTAATATATTTCTTAAATTAAAACATTATTAATAGTTCATTTTCTACATTGACTCGACTTGGAATCGAACCCGACACCTCGAAACTGGCGAGCGAAACCACTTGGCTACGGGGGTTAAATACGACGTATGTATCGTTGTATTTATGTAAACAACAAAAAGCTTTATATAATGTATATACGAGTTCGTCGAGCATCGCACCTGCGCGTCCTGTTGGCTGTAGCCCATGAACCGCGGCGCGAACCTCTGCACCTGCGACTTGAGCGAGGTGGTGTTCACCACCGCGTCCCTCTCGCCGCTGCGCCACAGCTCCTTGATCACGCTAGCGAACGCTGAAACACACCGCCAACGACTACAGTTCCACCCCAACCACGCTCCACCATCATATGATGGTCGTCAGTTAATAAGTGTCGGTGGTAAAGCTGACCCTTGATGAGCGCCCCTTTCATGGTGGACAGTTGCGTGTTGATCTCCCACTTGTCCTCGGAGACGTACTCGAGCAGCGGCCGCGTGTTGGACAGGCACTGGAGCACGGAGTTCATGAAGCAGGTGTTGCCGATGTTGCGGAGACCGTTCAGACCTACGCCACCATAAACATTAATGTACCCATAGCTCGTGCGAATTGACATTTCATTTGTTCTCCGACGAAAAATGAGGACCGACTCTGCGTCATTGGTTTTCGAGTCGTATTAGCTCTTATGAAACGGATGACCTTCAGGCAACATGTTAATTGAAAATCCCGACGGATATGCCAGACTGCTGATACACTTGAACCCTGAGGACTTAATTGAGCAAAATCATACATTATATTTACAGAAAAATAAACAATAAAAATGAGTCGACAAATTATTTCTAATCTTATGTTCAACAATAATTATAATAGATAAGCGTATGCGTAACTAACCGCTGGTGTGGCTTTGTTGTTTGTCAATTGTTTCTGTGACAGAGTCCGACCGGTCGATGCTGTGCCGCAGCCCGCTCGGACCACTCCTACCGGTCGACAACTCCTGTGGTCATACAATTTTTTTTTATTATAAAAAAAAATCTTAAAAGCACAAAATATATATCAAAACAAAGATATTAATGATTAGCAGAACTTAAACGCAGCATGCGTAATAAACAATTAGTTCCACAAGCTAAATCATTATTCGCAAAAATATAAAATGAGAAAAACAAAACATCATACATTTTATACTACTCACCTTTTACTATAGCTATCAACGGATTAAATATAACTGAAGTTTAACATTATAAAAAAAAAGTTTACAAAAATATTGTTCCAAAAATTGATACATTTCAAATAATTAAGCTGTGTTTTTCACTTATCTCACATTCACACTCCATACTTATCACGCATTAATAATACCACAATATACAAATAAGTACAACTGTATATATATTCTTTTAAGAGAGAGAGAGAGAGAGAGAAATAATTAAAACCATTTTTTAAATGAGGAGGTCATGACATGAGTATAGACCATGTTTCGCTTCTGCATACCGGATATCCGGGGCGCCATTATAACGCTTAAATGACGTGTAAATTATCGATATTGAGGCAATAACTGTATTTAGCATGCATGCTTAAGACCAATTTCTTTGGCAAAAATAAGGTGTTCCTTTAAATATCATACATCTAAACAATATACGGCCACTCAGACTATTTACGACTTTAGGAATTCCAATAAACATGCAACAATGACTCTTAAGTCAAGGCGTTAAGATACCATTCGACTGAAAGCGGCCACTGCTAGCTGGGTGAAGCGCTCGTCGCGAGAGGTGCGCGCGCGCGACCTACCCCCTGTTTTTGAAATCAAAATGAATTTGCATAAACCCGGTTACTTTCTTAAAAACTAAACAATGTGGATGTTAATTAAATAATTTGTTAACCGTTCTTTATGTTAACAAAACATGTTAACCGTTTCGTTTTCGAGAGTTTTTGTATAATGTGGTGGAATAGATGAGGGGCAGGGGTGACAGGGCATTGGTGCGATTATTTTTTAGCTATTCTCGGTAACGATGCCCACTCTAAGTGATCGACTAGTTTAAATACATATTTCTAGTGCAGTGACTGATAAATTAGTTTTTAATTTATAAGATTAATAATTTTTAATAATTAATCTGATAAATATTAAAACTGTTTGCTAATTTTTGTTTAGCAAAATTATACAATTATACTGTATGTATTCGTTACGATATTATGCTTAGGAGGAATTGATTTTATGAGGCGGCTAGTACAGTGTGTCGGCTGATACCTGGTAAGTATTGACGGTGTAAGCCCTGTGCGCGGGCAGCCGCGGCGCCGGCGCATGGCTGGCCGCTACGGTGCGCGGCCGCGGCTCGTAGCACCGCCGGCAGCCACACCTCATACCGTAGCACCGCCGTAACGCATGCCACTATTGCCACCAGGTAATACTCTAGCATACAACGGCTCGGAAACACGACTCGTTCTAATGCGTTTCCACCAATCGATAGCTCGAAGCACAACTCTTTGTAAAGCCTCTTTGATTAACACACTCGCACGATTGACGGACTTTAATAATTCAAATTGAAAGTGCTGGTATTATCTCGTCAATTTTGGGCTACGGTTGCTTAAAAATGTCTGTTTATGCACGATTCGAATGTAACTGTGTGTGCGCCCTTGTCTTGTTGTTGGCGTCTCTGTTTTGATAGATTTTTGTTTCTAAACGATAAGTGGTAGAATTGATAGAACACGTTTATTAGATTTTTATTTCTCAACGCTTTCACGATATTAATATTTTCGTTGATGAAAGTAATTGTTTATATTTTTATATGAAAGTCGTTTTATTTTTTGTTGCCTTTTAAGGTCATCTGAAATGTTTTAAAACAGTCTTAAGGCGTCTTGGTTATGATCAGCGTGTGAAGCAACGTTGCATACTAAAATGCTTAGAATTATATGTGAGCAAAACTTTTTGAAACGCAACTGACTTCAAAGCGCTACGGTAAAATGTAACGCTAGAAAGAGTTCAATACACTTCGTAGTGCCGACACGTAGCACAGGATGATTCCGTAACCAACTACAAACACGTAGCACAGAATGACGCCGTAGTCAACGTCATCTAGTTGCTAGTTTTCAGGCGAACTTTCTAGTGTATGCAACTCTCGGACAGCTCACGTCGCGCATGAGTTCATTTATAAGTTCGTGATTCAGTGCGATGCACTCCTCTGCGAAGTTCCTTACGAGTGAGCCAACCTTCACGCTTATCGCTTCACGTACACTCGCATCCCGTTTAAAAGACATGGATTCGATTGATTCTTACGGTCGTTTATATTAATATATCATCACAAACTTTTTAAACTGATGACAAAATTAATAACACAAGGATATTTGAAATAGTTTTTTTTTACACAACACGGTTAATAAATGTCAATGTTTATATTGTACATTTATATTCACACAGTATTGATTTATTTAATTTTCACTATCTTTCAAAGCGAAAGAACTACGAAAACTCTGAAGGTCACTAAAATTTATAACGTACACAAGATATTACACTCTGACTGTGGCGAATAAAGCCTCGATTATTGCGCTTCAGAAACTTTTATAAAAGTAGGTTGTGTCAAATTTTAACAGACGAGTCGAGATGGTCCGTCAAGTTATTCCCGCAGAAAATTGCATTTTAAACTTCGAATCGGCAATGACGTCATTCAGCGCGCCTCGGTCGCGGCGCGCCGATCACTGATCGCGCGGCGCCCCGACGCGGGTACCGCCAAAAACCATTGCCAAATTTCACAATCAACGCGCTGTAGTTAAACAGTTAATGTAGTTAGTAAAAGCCAGTATCTAATTCATACACAACCGTTGGTGAGTTTTCGAAAAGTCACCGTCGCCAGGAAGAAGAAATGATTGTAACTTAGTTATGGAGGATTTGTACTTCTTTATTTTGGATTGCGAAAGATCTTTTTTTTTTTTATTAAGAATTAGAATTGTTTTCGTTGGGTGCTTTATCGCTTTTTATTTAGATACTGGTTCTCAAGTTATCTATTTTAGTTCTAATCATATAAGCAAGTGTAGTCAGCATCCATTCACTATTATCACTTGCGGCCTTGACTCGCATGCTTTAAATAAATATAAACTAATTTTCGCACAGTGAAATATGATGTTTCAATGGAGTCATCGATGAGTAATGACGACGTGGTCGCCATGACAGCAAAGGGGTTTACCGATACACGAGTGATAAGTAATCCCACAACATGAAAATACCAGTAACAGTGATTACCTATGCCTTAATTAAACCCATCTCAGTTTAAAAGGGCGGGTAGACCCCAAAACACTAACTTTCAATCGGCTTTACAAAGAAATAAGCTGTAATTCAAGATGAGAAAAACATATCAGAAAAATACAGCCAAAAGGTGAACTTATAAAATTTTCTCCTTAAAAAAAAACTGAAAATTATCATTAAAATTCTACATTTTTTAATTTTGTTGTTGTAATTATACCCAATTTATAGAAAAATTTATAAATATGTGAGTAATTTTGTTAGCTCAGGGAATTATACAGCATTTACATTCATATCGTCAATGTTTGCGAGTAATTAAGTAATTAATTTTTGCAGTGTAATTCCCTGTTCCTTGGTGTCAATTTACTCAAAAAAAAAAAAATTGCTTTTATACAATTTTCTTGGTAACCTAACTATTTTTTTTTATGTTTTTGATGTTAATTAAACCCTTAATTGCCGATGCTACATAAAGTCGATTAGAGAAGAATATATTTTTAATGGTAGTACCTGGATAGATTCACATAACATGAGGCTGACATATTGACATACAACTACATTAGATGTCATATGAAAACATGACACTGCACTTAGACGCAAGTTAGTGTTTTGTGAGGAAATAGTAAATACTGTCAACTTACCCGTAAAACTTCACTACGATAGGTACTGAAGACACCATAATGTTTCTTTACACAAAACACATTGACTGTTCTCATTTTTCTAAACGAAATATTATGCGTCATATACATATTTTATAGAAATTTGTACTAATTTTCAGGAAATCCAATGAATACCACTTAAATTGTTACTTCACGATGTATATTTGGTGATTTTTTATTAGACATTGGTATAATTTTTCTTATAACACATTTCTAAAAATATTCACAGAAGTACATAGGTAGTCCAATTGTTTATGGCGCCGATATGCAGCGAACTCGTGATTTGGCGGGAAAAAGTCAATAATTTTATTCCCTTTGCTTCGACGTCATGAGTTTTAAACACTTAATTATTTATGATTAATACTTAAATTAAATCCAACGTAATATTAAAATTTAATATGAAATTATCACAGTAATAGCAACACTTCACGTATACCTTTCAGGAAATACTAAACCTTACGCAACACATATTTATATTGATATATATGACTTTTATCTCAAGATAATCATAACCTTACGTCGGATACTGACATTTACCGATAGCACTTGTTGGAGACAAAGAAACGTATGAACTGGTCTACATATATAATAGACGGAGAGCGCGAGACAAAAATATGTAATAACTTTCGAAAGCTTGACATTTCAGTATGCTGAAGTACTAAGGGCATACATCACTTGATACACAATGCAGAGGTCGGCGGCGCTATACTTCTAGCGATTCCTGAATATATTTGTTCCATTAAATGAAAGCCTGAGTATTTCTTTATAAAGTAATAACAAATAATTCAACCATTATGATGAAACTCTTTTTCGGAACTCATTTTCACAACAATTTCTGAGACCAGCTGAGTCACCGCATTTAATAAGTTCTTCGTTAATTTTTAACTATTAAAAATAGCCATTAATATGTGTTACGTTTTTTTTTACTTTACATTGCTACTACCAGGTAGTACCAGGTGCTACTGGCAGGAGGTCACCTGATCTCCGCGCTGGGTTGTGACGATACCCTTAGAACTTCAACATACTGAGAGACCAAGCTTTCAAAAGCTCTTGCATATTTTTCTCACAAGCTCTTAGACTGTAAAACGAAAGAAGTTAATAAGGACTGTGCTTTAAAGTTCTGCCTACCCCGCAAGAGAGCTCACGTGACGATGTAGAATACGACCAAACTGAAATTTGGCAATGATTTATATGACTGCAAGCATAGTATGCAAAGGCAGCTAAAATATCTGCATTTGTGAAATCGATGCAATCTTCTGTCACTAAAGTTGGTTACCTGAACATATTAATACGAACCAGTATGTAACACTTATAATAACAATTTATCAAAAGAACACAACCGACTTTTCAAATCAAACAACAACTATTAAAATTAACGCATACATTTAAAACATAATATTCAAATCACTTGTACAAATCAATAGAAACTGGCAAAAATTATGTCAAAAATGAAATTTGACAGGACGGGTTATTTCAAATCTGCCACAGTTTTGCACATAGACAATACACAAGAAATGACAATCAAAATTCAAAGAGGTTGCAGTATTATCGAATAATATACATCAAAAGACTTTGCAAAGTTATATAATAGTCTCGCAATGTTAAGCCGAGTCGAAATTTATCTTTCGATGTCGACAAGTTATAAATGTCGGTTCACTGCCTATAATATCTTAAAGGTTAACCATCGTCAGCGCATAACACCGCACCACTATTTATAAAAAGACTACGAGAATAATAATTTAACACAGCATAAATGGCTTGTCCCTAGTAAAATCTCAACAAAAATCTTGAGAATAATGGAATCAAATGTTACCTCCTGTGAAAATTTGAAATTAGAATACCGGACCACAGACCAATTTCACGCGGAAACCGAAACGTCATCACTGTCAGCATGTAGCTGTCAAAAGCGCGCGTACATGGACACAAAACGAACAGGTTTTCTAGACGAATCGCACGTGGTTTTGAAAAACGTGTTCTCTCTCGCCGGCCAAGCGATTTCCCAGTGTTATTTTAGCTACGTTACATTTAGTGTGATATATTTAGATCACACCATTGGAAAGAGGACGCAATGTGTCTATATGCATTGTCTGGGGAAAATTTTGACTAACACCATCCGTTATAACCGACCTGTTTGCCAAAATGACAAGGCGCGAAGAAAAATATTTTCGAAAGTTGGAAATTTCTCGTCATTGACTGTCTTTTATTTCAAGATGTCATAGATATTAACATCTTATTTTTTTTTAATTAGAGTTCCATTTACGAGTAAGACTCTTTTTCTAATCTTCGAACAATTTAGGCTAACCAATTTATTGATCACAGAAGATCACTACCCACGGCATACAATATGCAAGCATTTACAGTATTGAACTTCGTCAGATACTGCTTTTGTTTATTCAGGTCTCGAAAACGTCAATAAAAGTCGTTAGCTAAATGAAACTTTATGAGTAGTTGACTTATTTGTTATTATTAAAAGTTTTATATCAAACACGTGTTAGCTTTGATTGACAAAGCTTCCACGACGCACGGGATGACAACGAATTTTCTGTTCGTTATATTTATACACAGGACTATGACGACTGACACAAATACGTACAAGACGATGACAACGGACGGACAACTATCCACACAGGATTATAACAACGTATACGTATCCATACAGGACGACGACAACGGACACGTATTCATAGCTATAAGAAAGATTATGAACTGAGGATTCCAAATAAAATAAAAATAATGTAATAGGTTGGGGACAGTTTCTTCGCATTTTATATGAAAATTCAAAACATTTATAAAGTTTATTTACATATAACTAAAGTATGTAGGTACAATTTTGTTCGATAACTTTTGCCATCTTGTAAGTAGGGACATGATCCCATTGCTATAAAAATTTTGAGGCTTCTGATCAAAAACCGCGACAAGTGGTTTTGGCAGTCGTCGCGTAATTTTAACCTGACATTGCCTAAAGAATTCTGAAGAGACTGAATCAGAAGGTGCAAGGTCAGAACTATACGGCGGATGCATTAACACCTCTCAACCAAACTCACTTAATTTTGGCTGAGTGGCAAAAGACGTGTGAGGTCTAGCGTTATCAAGATGAAAAACCACATCTCTTCTATTTACTAATTCAGGCCGCTTTCTCTCAATTTCATGCTTTAATCTCATCAGTTCAGAATCGACTGTCCTGCCTGGCGGTAACAGCTTACAATGAATAATGTCCTTTTAAGGTACCGAAACCAGAAAGATTTTATTACAAGTTTATGCATACTATATGCGAAATGACCTTTACCCCAACCTAACAAAATAGTTTCCAGATTTTTTTGGAAATAATATTTTCCAGTTCAGTTTCCAGATTTTTTATTTTTGTATTTGTGGCGTCCCAATGATCATAACGTGACTTGAAAAAGGTAGAAAACCTTTCTATAAATTATTTCTAGTTTCAGGATATTAAAATCATATAGAAAGATAACGAACTTCAAATTAATAGAATTATTAAAAGTAATACAAGAACATTAAGCAACAGTAGAGTTCAGAAGTTTTGCTCAGTGACGGTGGGCAACACACAGAGAAATCCAACAGTGGGCTAATGATGTACCATAAACTAACAACGCTTTTTCTAAACAACAGACGAACACAAATAAGCGACCTCATTGCACAAATGCCAACGAACTTTTTTTTTATAACACAAATGTGTACGACTTTGTATTGAACACATTTAAGAGAGAATGATGAAGCAGTTATATACCGGGTGGAAAAAATGTTGCTTAAAAGAATAAAAGCATATTTTTGGATGAAGACCAAATCGTCTTTTCCATAATAACCATAACACCACGTAAGTCGAAAATCGGCCATGTGATTTATACGATATCATTGAATTCTATTTTTTTTTTTTTGAGTTCCTTAAAGGGCTTTTGACTCATTTTAGTGAATGGCACATTTTTCTCTTAATAATAATCATGGTCATAATTTTTAATCAGCTTATTATGTTTCAATAACAAGACTTCTTCATGTGAGCTTGAATATAAATATAATTGGACTTTGTTCCCGGTTATCCATGTTCAAGAAAAGAGAATTTCCCTTAATATCAAGAAAAAAGATAACAACTGGCGCTCGTTTATCAGAAAATCGGCATTAGTGAAGGTTATACATCTTTTTAAACAGTTGACTGAACTCGATAGCCGTAAATATATTTATAATATAACAAGAAATCTTGCAGCGAGGTGGTCAACATTATAAATAAACGTTTCGTTTCTGAAATTTTGAATGAGTCACCTGAGTGACCTAGAATAGTCGAGTGTTAACGGCTTTCATACGAACATTAGATATTAGAACCATTTACAACTTCTGAACTAAAATGGTTAATTGTTCAATACTTTTGTATGAAGCTAGTCTGCCATTTCAAAATATAAAATTATATGTCGTCGATTATACGTTTAGCTGATCATATTTTGAAATCCGGCAAAACATTCTAACCATTTTCACACATATTATTATTATTTACAAAAATGGAATGGTCACCCTTTTATTTGTTCATTCATTCATTCATCCATCCAGTAAAAAGCCAACAAATCATTTCATAAAATAAACAAACTAGTTACGATAATCACACTTCTACGATCATACATTTCTTTTACAAAATAGTATCAATTTTAGGAACATTTACTTGCAATAAGACTTGGTAATACTCGAGATAGTTTTAATAGTTTTCAACCTAACAAGCAGCTGAAAGAGAAGTCTAAAAACATGTTATAATTTAAAAAAAAAAATCAGTGTTTTAGAAATCAAACAAGTGCATAAAAGAGCCACATATTACAACGATGAAACACTCACATTTCTAAGGGCATTTAGTAACAACTAATTAAACAGTTAATAACGATGGTACATTTTTAAAAGATATATTTAGTTGTAATTCTTATTTTATCTAAGTGATAAAGTTTTCGAACACATTAATAAAACGTTAATACGAATACCATTGCAATTTCAAAAAATCAATCATTTGTAATTCATATTGATAATGAAAAAGAAAACATGCCCTTAGAAAAAATTGTTGTCCGAGATAAAGAATGGATATCACTCACCGATTTGATATCGTCATAGTCTTTCGTGTCCAATGCTTTTCTTCTAGAAGACGGCGTGTCAGGACTAGAGTCTTCTGTCGCTTCACTAAAAGTGCTCTCAGAGCTGGTCTCCATTGACTTTGTCCCATCTTGAATGGATTCTTTTTCGTCAAACCCATTTTTCTCTATACGTTTCTTCAAGAAGTTCTCGTGCTCAAAAGTTTTATTCTCAAAGCCTGTACCGCTCGGTGATTCTATGTCGTTATCGAGTACCAACCTGTCGTCTTGTTCACAATCTATATACTTCAAGTTGACTTTGGTCCTCCTTTCATTCTGACAATCGATTTTATCTTCTTGAACGCTATTCGCTTTTTGTCCAGCACCGGAGGCTATCGGTTGTGATATCTGTATATATGAAGCGAAGTTAGATGTGTGTTTTGGATTTTTAACCTGTTTCTCAATGTCGCTCTTTACCATTTCCTTTCTGTTAGACACCTCTGGGTTACTTCTTAATTTTTTATAATCGATGTCGCCGTTCTCTACTTGGATTACAGTGGATTTTTCTAAGATTTTACCTATGGGATTGTTTGGATCTAGTTGGCTTTTGATACTGGCGAGACGATCAGAAGGCAGTTTTGTTGTTAGTGAAGTGGACATGGAGTTAGTTTTGTCCGCGGTGGGTTTGGCAAGACTCACTGGCTCTGATATCGTTTTACTTATAGACAGATCAGAGTTGGAATTTGATCTGGATGATGTCGAGCCAGCCTCCCATCTTTGATTCAAGCCATTTTTCTCTGCATAAGGCAAATGCACCGGGACCGGTTTGTCGTAGTTCGGTACGATTTTTGTGTACCCAGTGCCACCATTTTCGCAATCTTTTAACTTACTTAAGTATTGTTCAACTGAACTTTTCGGGGAATATGAAGTTTCGTTCGCAGGGAGTTTTGTCACGGTCATTTTGGAATCGAACCTTTTCCGTATCTCAGAGACAGATGGCACTTCGTTACCATTATTGTCCTTGATACCATTTGTCATAGAGTTCCTTTTGCTGTAGCTTGGAGAACTTTCTTTATACGATCTTCTGCCTTCCGGTCTCTGGTGTTAAAACGAACACTTATTTTGGAGGAAATCTAAGTTTATTATAGGACATACTACATTGCGGCTTGTGGATGTGTGTGTTAGTACAAACGTGCTCCATAGACATTTAAACTCTTTGCATGTTATTTTATTGCAAATACTGTTTACCTACTATTTTTAATAAAAAAATAAAATAGGCTATTTTTGTTTCTCTGGTCTACTTTTAAAATAAAATGACAAATTGCGAATATATTTAAGCTTTCGAGTTTAAATGACATTCGATAGGAGATCAACAAGTATGTATGTCACTACTTTGCAAAACCACATGATAGGCAAGCTGATTTTTATATAATTTTATAGATAACTAAAACTTTATCAGTGCTATGAATAAACAAGGTTAAGCATCAGAGTAAATTTACGCTAAAATTACAATTTTAGTATTAGTTAAAATTCATATTATACAGAAAATAAGCAAACCTATTACCTTCAAGAAGTAAATATTACTCCCGTAGAATCTCGTATTAGGTTAACCTTTGCCAAGTCTCTGTTAAATAATATGAATTTTGACTAATATTAAGTGTAGTCTCAGTGTAAATTTACACCATCGCTAAACCTTGTTTATTAATAACACTGTATAAAAATAACAAGGATTAACAAAATCAAATGAGGTTAAAATGTGAAATTTTGTACCACAGGGATGATAATTAGCACCCATATTTTACTCGTTAGTGGTAACGTTTTATAACTGAAAAAAGCATTTAAATATCAACTACTAACATTACATCCTACAAAATCCATATTAGAAAATACTATGACAAAAAATAATAATTTAAAATTTATGTTATAAACTTTTCAATTATGTTAAAAGAAATATTCTAACAGGAAAACGGGCTGTTGTATTGGACAAATAAGACTTAACACTTATTTGATATCTGATCAGATAAATTTCTTAGGCAGTTTAACCTCATTAGTTGTTACATTTTCTTTGCCTTGAAGCTGAGCTCTGCCTGTCAAGCGTGAAAATCTAAAGCTGAATGGCTCTTCATCAAAGTCTATATATTCAATGCTACTATCCAACCAACACCGAAGCTGTCAGAAATAAAGGCTGATCATTTTTAATTCGAATTGTTCAAGCAACATCGACTATATAGACCTCGTCACTTCTTAGTGCGGTTTTGTTAATGTACATACACACACAAACACACGCACACAACACTTTGTGTGCCTGCGAAATCTGCCCAGAGTGTATATTTCTGGTTAATGGTATATTTAAAAAAAAATGGTATTTAAACATGACAGGGATAATATTAACACTGATGGTGATGTCAATTCAGATAGATCGTTAGATGATGATAATAATAATAAGAATGGAAAATGACCGACAAACTATCTCAATCGCATAAGAGTAGTAGGGGGATTCGATTCTATACAACGATGACCGAGGTACATTTTGAAGTTGTATTATCGATAAACGTCATATCATTTAAATTATAATATTATTTACGATTGACTCAAAATTATCGAAGGAAAGTTAATATATTATAGTAAAAGTAAACCTTAAAAAAAGGAAACGAGTCTTGACAAGATCAATGAAAGTTTAGATACTTTTAAAATAAAAACTTTCTGAATTGACACCTATGTTTTATACAATGACATTTATAAAAAAAAATACTTCAGGATTATTGACTGTCATCTCTCATCACAAATTTACCTCCCTGTAACCACTCTGGAGTTTGAAGTTTTAGCTCCTGAGTATGGAATAATCATTAATGTATTGGTGTACAGTAAATTATTATTAATACATGACATATTTTAATGCTATTTTATGCAATTTTGTTTTTGCAAACGATACACTTATATAAATCTTAATAAAATAAAAAAAAAATACTTTTTCAATGTGAACTGGTAATTAACCAGTATTAAATATTAACTTTTAGTAAAATATAGGATATAATGATTTATATTTTAAATGATATATAGGATAAATAAAATAATATGAACCGATACTTTATCGATACCTACACAACCCTATCAGAAAATAATTTAAGTTGGAGGGTGTTTAAAATAGACGAAATTTACACCGCCAGTAGCGCGTCGGGGTATATAAAATAATAATTTCTACAGTTGTATGTCATGTGTATCATTTGCAACATTTTAGATGAACAAAGTAATGCTTAAGATATATTTTTTCTCTAATAGTTATGCTTAAATAAAAAAATATTATTATGGATAATATATTTGTTTTCTTTAAAGCTGTTTTATGACCAATATTTTTTTAATTTAAACAGTGTTTATGTAAGAAAGGTAAAAACTAAATCTGTATAGTATTATCTGTGTGGTAAACTTCGTTTACCAGCATAATTACAAAAGTAAATCTATGATTTTCGGAGATACAAAGATTTTAATAGCACATACATTATAATATTGTGTTATTTTTGTAAATCATTTTTACTTCTTTTTTTTTCATATTAAGCTATGAACATTGGAGATAGAGGAAAATCAATGAATATTAATACGTCACTGTACTGTTGAGTTGATATTATTCTATTCTAATAAATATAGGTACGATGATTAATCATTTATATACATTCATTTCATTTTGTATTACGGAAAATGAAAATAAATTATTATTATGACAAGGCTTGTTGTATTACTACTAGTGGCGTAAGTTTCAAATTCAAACGGACTGTACTGTACTGTACTACTTTATAAAGCTACAAACTAACCTTACGGTAAGTCGCAACTCCCAAAAAACAATTTCGATTTTGAATTTTGAAATGAATTCTGAAGATAATAAGGGTATGTGAATCTTAAGTAAATCAAGTAACATTAAACGATAGCGCGATTCAGATTAGTACAGCGCCATCTCTGGAGAGAAAAAAATTACAAACGCCTGTCACTATGACAAACAAAAGATGTCGTAGATAACGTTAATAGGGATTGTGGATATATTTATCGATAAGAAAACAACATCGAAACAACAGAGTAACAAGTGCTTGAAAAATGCGTCAGTCCTGTTAGGTCCTGGGTAGAGTAGTCGCCCGGATTGCGAGAGGTCGTGGGTTCGAATCCATCTTAGAGTGCCCGGGAGCATTTTTAAGGATTTTTCATTAAGAAAACGTAATCTTTTTTTTTTGTCTGATATAAACATGTCTCTGATAAAAAACATAATTTGTATTGTTATAAAAGAAAACTACTAATTCGATTTTTTAAAATGTCCAATTAAAAAAAAAGTAATTTTGAAACATAAGAAAAAAAAATTGCCGTCGAACATGTAACCTTTCGATTTTGAAGTCGGTTAAAAACCTCTCATTGAAGGGAGCCGAGAGCTTAGTGTTTTTGCACCATAATATTTACCATTTATTGATAAAAAATATAAAAATATGTCAATGTATTCATGTTTGCTTATGTTTTATTTTATTTCTGATCTGCATTATATTTTTAGTTAATTAAGTAAATATTTATGATTTGAAACTACATTGCTTTATTTTATTAAACACATTCTTCATGGGATTTCTTCGACTTACATATATTATAATAAAAAGTTTCCGTAAGAAGTTTTGTCTTTTAGTTCTATATCGTGTAGTGTAGCCAACAAAATAGAAATACTAGAACCGAATTTATTCGGCACCAAAACCGAATAATGCGGCCGAATACGAATAGGGAAAAAAATGCCCAATACCGAATATCCAAGTTGTTAATACCCACTAACCCGCATTGAGTCAGTGTGGAGGGTCATGGCCCATCCTCCATAACCATCCATAAGAAAGTGCAGTGGGGACGTATATAAAAGGGCTGATGATAATGATAATGACAGTCAGCGTCAAGTCATACAAATCTTAATGCATTGAAATTGAAAATAGAGTTTAAAATACACTTTGACATTTTGTAGTTTAATCAGATGTGCTGTTGTGTGTACAAAGAACAACGATAAGATTTTAATAAAACAATTTTTTAAAACGATATTATCCGACATCGATAGCAATACGCACGGTTCAATGAGCGTTGCCTATCAACGTGATGTGTTCTCACATTAAATATAGGTTACAGAACTAATCTTACGGAAAGCCGCTCGTCAGTACAAATAAAAAATCTAGTTTTTAGATTATATTTTAAAGAATCATGCCCAATTTATACCTACAAATTTACAAACGCGTATAGTAGTGTGGTATATTTCAAAATGTTTTATCACCTTAAGGTTCATAATTGCATGCGTTCGGTGTGAGATTTGAACATTTTAAATTATTTATTTTGACGGTGCATCTTATTATTTTAAATTTTGTAATTTTATTGTCTTTGTTAAAATAACCTATATTAATAGTGAAAATTATTTTTTCAAGTAAGACACCTATTATTTATTCGTCTATTATTCTATTGTTTTTTATATAATTGGTCATTGTGAATCAAACATATATTGAAAAGGAAGATAACTCAATTACTTAGGAAAGAGCGATACTTATTTTCTATGCAAAGACGTCATGGAGATATAAAATAATAATAATAATAATAACAACAGAAATAATTACTTGAGAAAATCTCATAACTCAAGCAAATATTTTTTAACAATATACAAAAATTTTAATGAAGTAAGCATTGTTATTATATTAGTTAACGATAATAATATTCTCACTTCCCTTTACTATAGAGCGAGTGTAAGTTTTTCGTCGGTTTGATATAGATGGCGTTGTGCTGTTGTGAAACGCGTTATCGTTTTGTCTTTCCGAGTTAAAGGTTTACAGGAACGTTTCTTTTCTCAATAATTTTTTATTCAAATAAGCTTATTTAGTTTTTTGAGCTTGCTGCGTAATTTAAAGATTATTGTTCAGCGGCCATTGAGGATTACAAAATATTGATTTAATATTAAATGATCGAGCTTTTAGCGATGGTAATTAATTACTGAATTAAAATTTGCGTATTGTGGTGTCGTATTAAATAATTTGCGTTGTATTTATCAATATATTTGGCTGATTCATTAACAAAGATAGTATTGTGTCGTATTTATTTTTAGTAGCATAGGATTGACATGACATGGCTATGGCGATATTCATTTAGTAAACACGTTGGCAAACACAAAGGACTTTGTTGTGTAAATAAATTTATCAATTTCTGTCATTTTGTCAGAGTATACACACACAGCATGTGCCCTGTCCGTTATGTAGACTAGAGATTCTAAGCAAAAAGGTATTGTATCGTAATATTACCATAACTGAAAATATTGCTTTATACAGGTACCTAGTTATTCCTCAAGTCGACCTAGTAAATCTCGATTAAATATCGGAGTTAATATTGTTCGTTTCAAAAATATAATACAGCTTTAAAAAGAGTTATTACAAGTTTATGTATATTATAATTTATTTAAGCACAACAGAGAAATTTAAAATTGTTAAAAATATGAAAAGTAATATCAAGTATGAAGAGAAAGTATGAAAATTTAAGTCGCGAATTTCGCAGACACCCAAAACAAATTTGAAAGTTGAAATAAAATAAACAATTTACAATAAGAAATGTGATAATTACCTCTGCTATGGTGGCGGCGGTGGAATTCCTCGCTCTCCTGACTGTCTTAGCTGGATCAGCGGGTGGTCTGCCTATATCGTTGGAGATGGACTTGGACCTAGAGATCTCGCCGTAGCTGTTCTGGTTCTGTTGCTGTTGCTCCTTGATCCTCTGCGTGAGAGGCACGTAGTTCGCCGGCGAGTACTTGTTATACAATTCCGCAGTCGACATGGTCAAAGCTGCGGTGCTGATCACATTCCTCTTGTTCCTCGGCAGTGGATCGCTGGACGTTTTGCTGCTCTCGCTCCTGGTGGTGGACAGGTCTCTAGACCTCGATTTGCTTCTCTCAGACCTGTACCTGGTAGAGATGCCGCTATCTGAGTCGGTTATACTCGGCGCCCTTGACGTTCTACTGTACTCCACCAGGGAAGACTTCCGTTCTCTCTTGCCGTCCACATCTGAATATTTGGATCTGTATTCTGTCGTCCTATCGCCGCATGTGCTTCTCAACGTCGACGTTACGTAAGTGCCGCTGCTAGTTCTGTAGTAAGGCTTGTCGAAACTCGACGAAGAGGTCAATGTGGACCGGTATGAGCCGGTCAAACTGGACGAGGTGGACGTATACCTTGACGGCGACACGACAGGCATTTTCACTGATTTCTCTTAACGCTCTCCTCTTATGTACTATTTGACATTGCCTAAACCTATCTACCTAGTTAAGTTTTAATCTGGACGGAGGTCGCATGTTCTCCTTCTACTCAGATCTGTAACAAAATTAAGTTCATTACTTATTATATCTGTATGTTTACATTAAGTACCCACAAGAAATCTTGTCTTCACATTGTTTACATTCATAAATGTTTAAATATGCTGGTTGTTATGGACTCTGATATCATTTTTATACAGTATACTAAATATTTTAAAGTAAGATTCTTTGTTTGCATCAAATAGGCTGAAAAATTACTGGACCGATCTTAAAGCACCAGGTGGTTAGAAGTCAAGTATATCTGTGCTTCTCTACTGCCCACATGAAAGGAGGCATTGAAGTGGGGCCTCTTAGACAGAGCCCATTGGGAGGGTATATTGTAGGATTTGGTTTTAAGTGGGCATGGTTGAGTGAGTCCATCAGCCCATTGCAGGTTTTCATTTTGTTGTAATAGGATTTACATTTTTACTTGAAGATTTATGTAAGATAAACATTCTATGCAAAAACAATCCACAAATAGAAATGCCTTATAGTGAAATGACAACCTTAAGTGTTTCAACATAAAGGCAGTAGCGTAATGATAAGATAAAAATTACTCCAATATTTACTATTGAGATTTATAATCTGTTATGACGCAAATTTGCTTTTTTTCTCTATTTATCTTTGAAGTGGCATTTTTTTATGTAGAATAGTAATCGGGAAATTATTTATGTAGTATTCAATAGTGTTACTTATATATTACACCTTCCTCATAATTTTTATATTTTAACCATTTGTCTTTCAATACAAATTTTAACAGTCAACTGAAAAAGTAATTTCTACAGTGGGGTGGCATAACTTATTCACCAATGCTATTCAGTTGTGAATATAGTAACTAAGTAATTAACTTTATAAAATAAAAGATTTGGGTATATGTATATAATAAATAACTATCATAATAATATCAATATATTTTGTCAATGCCAGACCATAACAATGACAAAAAATATATTAACCATTAGGAATAATCACAGAACTGTCAAATTTCAGTAATGTTAAAATACTGTTGTTAAAATTGTTCTCAAGTGAGTGTACATAATAGTTTATTGAATGTAAATAACAGATAAAGTTTATTGAATATGATAAATTAGTGAACCCATGAAGTAAATACATGTATAAGAATTCAATTTTATCTTTAGAAGAATAAAAGTGCTGGCTTAGGAGTCAAGGTCATTGGGCTTACAATTCTATATTAAATTATACAGTTGCACCATCACTGTTCATTTATTTTATGTTCAATGCTAAACCAAAGAATAACGTCAATAGGAAGGTAATAAAATGTGAAGTTTTGAAACTTGATACCACTATTGAAAAAATTGATTAGGATATTTCAAGGCCAAACCGTTTATAAGCATTTTTAAAGACAGCAAAGGCGCATTTGTCACTTTCACAGCACTCACCCGGCCTCGCACACGCAAAATCACCAAATATCACGTCCAAAAATACAACTCAAGATTTATTTTTAGCAAGACTTCAGGACATGACTTATCAACCAACTCGTTATAAAGGCACTAATTGATTTTTTATTATCACGTGGGTGTCGTAGCATATTAATAAATCGATCGCACTTTGCAACCGATGGGAAAATACTCACAAAATATTATAAATTCTGGTAACTATGTAACTTCAACGAAACAATCAAATATCACATTTAGTTATCCACAATGCGCGGTACGGTCGATATTTCTTTTGGGTTTGCACTCGCGTCGTTCACTGATCTCGTTATTTTTGGACTTTTCTTACAAGAAAATGGAGCGTTTGAGATGAAAATCGTATTTTCTTCAACTGTATTGTAACTTTAGAACTGTATGTCCCTCCATGGCGTGACGTCACTCAAATTGTTGGCAATCCTATTTTTATACCACTTCCTACTCAAACGATAAAATGTCTTATTAACACGAAACTCATGTAGAATATAGTCTTTCTCTTTATTCAATAAAGTCTATAATTGTAATTCTCGAAGGACTAGTAAAATCGTGATTGGATTTTATGAAAAATATTGCCATAATAGAAATATAAATAAAAATGTTGTTACTTTTTTACGTGTTGTCATCGCCAGCTGTACATACTTAGGCAATTAACATATTTAAAGGTACATTAAATACATACATACATATGCATTTATTTTTTTTTGTAAATAGTAATTTAAAATAAAAAAGTAAATCTTTGTCAATGTTGCAAAAAAAAAAAACTGTCATAGACGTTATTTGTTGTAGCTGCTCACCAATAGATGGCGGTACTTAGTTATAATTAAAAAGTATTACTATCGCACACAAGATGTCACTAAGTGGTTTATCGTTCAATTTATTTTAAGTCTATTTAAAGCATAATGTAGAGTCACGTAAAGTTAATCAGCAATGGCTGACTAATCTCATTGTAGACCCGGGGCGACAATAGGCCCAAACTGACAACTTTTTCCAACCCGGGCAGAAACTTGTAATTGCGTTTACACCCCTTATTCTTTTACTTACTAGACTCTATTTCGAGGTTCAAATAACTAATTTTAATTTTTTATGAAAATAGCTTTTAACGAAAAATTTAACTTTTGCTCTTCGATATAGATCAGTACGTAAGTGTAAAACAACTTTGTTCTATGAAAAGCTTATTTATTAACTTAGGTGTATATGGAATATTGTTCTTAATATTTTATGAAAATAACTAATGCGTATGTTGTTTTTTGCATTTTTCACTGTTGCGATTTAATAAATAAGACCGGTCAATGTTGAGTCGGATTATATCGGAAACGAGCAAAAAGTTAAATATTTATTTTATTTGTTGTTACAGCGGCAACAGAAACACAATTCTAAAAATCTAACCCTATAAAACTATCGAATTTAAATATTTTGTTCAATCAACTTTTTCAGAGCCATAACAAGGAAAACCAACAGAAAAGGTTTCTTTTACTAAAATAATATTGCATGTTCTCGATACTTAGCATTATTTTGAACTATTATTTTAATCATATCTTCGTATAAATAATTATATTAAAAGAGATCTAAGAGTTTATTCAAACATATTTCAATAATTCACAACTACAATATATGTCACAAATAATACTTTAATAATGATATCTACAAGAATTATATAATTTAAGTTTACAAAATAAAATTGTTAAAAACCATCTTCTTGTCTTTGGTTTTAAAGCTTTGGCTTTCACTAACAAAAACTTTTTTAACTTTAGACCAAAAACTAGCTTTTCTTTTTATAAATTAATAAAAGTCAATTCAACGTGAGATTTAAAATATAAAATCTCTTGAGTGATTTTTTATTTTAACTAAATATGGTTTCATTCTGTTTTTGCAACGTACAAGAAGACACCATTCATCGGGAGTGTAATTGCTTTTAATATGGGACGATCTCTCTATAAGGACTTAGAACTCTCTTCTTCATTCTGCATGTATCCTTTCTTGAGGAACCGATATGTAATAGAAACGTAGAATTTCATCGCAGCAAACAAATATACAAAGAATAAATAATTGGATAACAGAAACACTTTTACAAAAAATATTAAGTAAATTGTTGTATTATTTTATAAAGTCAGGAGGCCTACTCGCTTTCTCGAAAACGAAATTTCGTTTACGAACGAAATTAAAACGAAATTTCGCATGTAACGCTACTCTTTATCATTTTCGTATACACCAACGAATGTTCGATTCCAAAGACCATGTTCGTGATCGATTGGAGTGAATGGCGTTATTGGATTTCTTATAATGTCAAATTCCGGTTTTTACCGTAACTTGAAATATATAATATTAAACAATACATATATTTCTTTTAAATAAAATTTTAGTGGCTAAACATTGTTTAAACATAAAATATTATAATAATATAACGAAAAACTTAGTATATTAATGAATTTTATTTTTCGTTACAACTGATCAAGACACTATAAAGAACTCTTTTATCCACAGTATTAACCGACATATTTAAAAACAACCTTTCATTTATACGATGGCTATAATCAACATATGGCAATCGTACATATCCGTATAATACAAACGATTCTCATCCCGCCAAAAGTTTTACAAGTTTTTACCAAACTGTTCAGTATTTACTAATATTTTATTTAATTATTGTGAGTTCCGAAATTTATCTTGACAATTCAGTAAAAAACTTTATAAGTAAGTATGAAACTAATATTAAGTTTTTCAGCACAAAAAAAGGTTTTTAGTAATAAATTTACTTTTTATCAGTCATATTTTTCAGGTATAATGGCATTGCCTATATGCCTCGTAAAATCTGTAATATTAATGACATAATTCTATAGGTATTTATTCACAATTCATACATAAAGCCAAAATAAACAATAAACTATTAAGTACTCACTGTCTCTTAATAAGATTGCTTTCATTTTGGTTTTGAGGGAATAATATATTTCCTTATAATACCTATTTGGTGAATTGAGGACAGTCCTAACCTCCTAACACCGTGAAACTGTTTGTTGGGCCATAGGCCCATCCATGTTTTGAGATACGAATCATTGGTAACTACCTCGGGCATAAAAAATTCAACGCTGTAAGAATCATAAAAATATGAAATGCATAATGATAGGCATGCAATTTTTTTTTTAAAAAACTACGATAAAATATCTTCTTACTTTAATTGTGGACTCGATGGCATGAGATCTTGCCTGTAGACGCAGTAAAGGTATAATCTCCTGGCATAGTTCTTGAAATAATTCACAACTGAGTCTGTAATTACTTACAAACTCAGTGTCGAGAATATTTGTTATATTTAGGCTATTTCGAAGCCGCCGCCGATTTCTTCTATGGTCTAATCGTTCTTTACTGTGAGCTGACTCGATTAATAGTAATATAGACCCCATTTCGAAAATAAAAAATTGCTAACGAAAATGAAAAGGTAACATTTTTTACTTCGTCAATTTGAGGTAAGAATTCCGAACAATAAGATGTCAAACTCAAATGTTCGTTTTGTCATTTCGTGAAATAGAGTAGGTTTAGAAAATAAATATGTCAAACATTTTCGTTCGTTGAATATTCGGAACGAACGTAATTGTGGTAGGAAACGTCCGAAATTTCGAACGATATTTCGTTTTTCGGTGAATTAGAGTAGGCTTCCTGGTTGATATATCAACTTATATACAGGTGAATTATTATGACTTGTATCAATGAATTATTAAGAAGGTATCTTAATGCTCAAAGGAGTAAGGATGTCTTCGTTGGTAATGTATGACATAAGGATATATGTACTGAAGTATATTGCACAGAGCAGGAAGCCGACTCTAATTCACCGAAAAACGAAATATCGTTACTTTTCATTTTCGTTAGCAATTTTTTATTTTCAAAAAGGGTCTATATTACTATTGATCGAGTCAGCTCTCAGTAAAGAACGATTAGACCGTAGAAGAAACTGGCAGCGGCTTCGAAATGGCTTTAATATAAGAAATATTCTCGACACTGAGTTTGTAAGTAATTACAGACTCAGTTGTGAATTATTTCAAGAACTATGCCAAGAGATTTTACCTTTACTGCGTCCACGGGCAAGATCTCATGCCATCGAGTCCACAATTCAAGTTGGAAGATATTTTATCGTAGTTCTTGATAAAAAAATATTTTTATGATTCTTACAGCGTTGAATTTTTATGCCCGAGGTAGTTATCAAGGATTCGTATCTCAAAACATGGATGGGCCTATGGCCCAACAAACAGTTTCACGGTGTTAGGAGGTTAGGACTGTCCTCAATTCACCAGATAGGTATTATAAGAAAATATATTATTCCCTCAAAACCAAAATGAAAGGAATCTTATTAAGAGACAGTGAGTACCTAATAGTTTATTGTTTATTTTGGCTTTATGTATGAATTGTGAATAATTACCTATAGAATTATGTCATTAATATTACAGATTTTACGAGGCATATAGGCTATGCCATTATACCTGAATAATATGACTGATAAAAAGTAAATTTATTACTAAAAACCTTTTTTTGTGCCGAAAAACTAAATATTACTTTCATACTTACTTATAAAGTTTTTTACTGAATTGTCAAGATAAATTTCGGAACTCACAATAATTAAATAAAATATTAGTAAACACTGAACAGTTTGGTGAAAACTAGTAAAACTTTTGGTGGGATGAGAATCGTTTGTATTATACGGATATTTAAGATTGCCATACGTTGGTTATAGCCATCGTATAAATGAAAGGTTGTTTTTAAATATGTCGGTTAATACTGTGGATAAAAGAGTTCTTTATAGTGTCTTGATAAGTTGTAACGAAAAATAAAATTCATTAATATACTAAGTTTTTCGTTATATTATTATAATATTTTATGTTTAAACAATGTTTAGCCACTAAAATTTTATTTAAAAGAAATATATGTATTGTTTAATATTATATGTTTCAAGTTACGGTAAAAACCGGAATTTGACTTTATAAGAAATCCGATAACGCCATTCACTCCAATCGATCACGAAAATTGTCTTTGGAAACGAATATTGGTTGGTGTATACGAAAATGATAAAGAGTAGCGTTCCATGGGAAATTTCGTTTTAATTTCGTTCGTAAACGAAATTTCGTTTTCGAGAAAGCGAGTAGGCCTCCAGGGGCGGTAGTCTCGACACAGTTTGCGAACGCAATGTCACCGAATTCGGTCGCTAACTCATAGCGATCGTAATTTAACGAATATTGCAAGTCTCTACATTTAAAGTTATCGATTTTTGTCGGTAGCGTAGCGAGTTCAACTGTCAAATTAACGAATTTCGCTAGCTCCTTAGCGACCAAATTTGACAGCTCGATAAGTGACTTTTGTGATCGCTAATAATATTTTTTCGATATTTCACGGTATTTCGAGGTATTTATATCGGAAATTTAGTCATAAAGATATTTAAAACGTGATGGCTGAAGCATATTTAGCATTAG